ATATTGAAAACAAAAAAAGTTAGACGGTTTTTTGTCCCTCCTGAAAAATAAAAAATAAAATGGACTTAGCACGTTTGCGAACTAAGCCAACGATATATACATATGTACATACGTAATTTATAAGCTAGTTATCGACATAATTTATTTTTCGTTGTCCGCCTGTAACTTGCAAGTATACTTTAGTCTTTAAACTATCGGGATTATAGTAAAATCTTTACGTTCAAATCTAAAACTATTCCTCTATAAAAATCGACAATTTTTGGCACGTTTTCCAAATTTCTAAAAGCACTTCTATTCGTACTTCAAAATTCTTGAATATCAATTAATTAGCATAATTTTCGTACAGTTTTAATTAGAATAATTCTTCAATAATTTATAAAATTATAATTAACTATATCCATACTTGCCGCTTAACTATTCCAACTAAAATTCGAGCAAATATATGCCTACGCATGCATAAATAGTTGTGTAGCTGGAAAATAATGTGCAAAGTATTTCTCAAATACTCAAATATATCTACCAAATGAGACTCTAAATTTCGGCAATTCATTGAAATTCTGTAGTATTCTTGTTTAACAAGCAAACAAAAAAAAAACAAAAAGATTTAACTTGTAGGCCGACTAGTCTTTTACGTGGTTGATGCTATTAATCAAATTTAAATATTTAAATAATACTGTACGCCTAGGCATTTACTTGTACATATGCACTCTTATAAAAAATCGTAAGTCGATTATTTTAATTAAATTGACGAGGTTAAGCTGAAATACCATCACTTTTGCCAAGATTTCTAATCTATTTGTGACTTACAATGTCAACGCTTTAATCACACTATGCAACACCGGCTTTAAGGCATTTCAAAAATGCATATACATACATACATATCGTTCTTTAAAGTACAAAACCGCGTATCGTGGTTCAGCAAAACCTCGTAACTGACATTAGCTGCCAAAAAATATATTTGCTCACCGGAAGCTACTCGTATCAAGCCCATCCGTCCGTTCATACAAAAATATCGATACTTAGAGTTCTTAAGATAATTAGGGATAAAAAAAGAGAACCGTTTTGAAATGAGGCAAGTTTTCCTTTCCCCCTATAAAATTTTGGCAACTTCACATACGAGGTTTTACTAGTAATTTATTATGAAAACTGAGAAAAAAGAATAAATTATTTTCCACTTAAATTGAAACTGGCCATAAGAAGGTAATTTTTGGCCATAATTCTCATTCTTGGCCTTAATACTCCTCCAAGTAAACAAGAAATTCATTAAATATTGTGTCCTGGATTTTTTTGTTTTAGGAAGGTAACAGGTTGGTTGAAGCATCGAGAATATCGCTTCCAGTCATCGCAAACATTTTCACGGCGTGCTCAATAAGTGGGCATCGCTCAGACTACACAATGTTAAATTTGCCAAATCCTTCTCCATCTGGTCACTACAAGGGTAGCCCCATCGGATATTTTCATCGCCAATGCCACCGCGCGAGCAGACCCACGCTCTTTGCATCTCTATCTAATTTCGAGAAGGTATAATAAATGTATTCTCCTTAACCTCAAAAACAAAAAAAATCCCAGAAAGCAGTTTTTTGTGAACACTGTAGCTTTCAACGTTAGTCAGGTTTTTTTTTTACATATTTTACACTGCATTCTAAAGTTTCTCAAAATTTCGGATTGTAACCGAGATAAAATTTAACAATTTCAGCAACACACAAAAATAGAGCTTATGGACGAGCGTTTTTTTAGTTTCTTAACTGTCAAAATTTTACTTTACATTTGGCGCAGCAAAATTCAATTTATTTGTACACCATAGTAAATTTCTCCACCCCGTCTCACCTCGGAGAAAAGAGTTACCGATTGGCACACAGCCTAATTATAACGTTATGTAGCACAGTGAATCGCACCGCCCCAATTTACAGTTAGAAGAATAATATGTATAGTACATTTTGACTCTACAACACTGAAATCCTAAAGTTTGCGATAAATCAAGATAAAGCGAATGAATTAAAGTCCAGAATTTTTGCAATTTATTTTTTATGGGCAAGCAACCCACCAAAGCAATTAATTTTGCTATAGCTGTTCTATAAATTGTTATATATACGTTTGCTTCGTTATGAATATAAGTTAATACAATTATGTGCATACATATGTATATGTACACAAATATTATAGGTGCACTTGCCGTGCAGTGAGATGGTCCAGTTTCTTTCGTGATTAGCAAAATACTTAATTAAACATTTTTTTTTTTAAGGAATTGCGACGCCATACTAGATTTTTGGGTTAACTTTCGTTTTCAACACATGGAATTCCCGGCTAATGTACATACATACACATGCATGCACGTGAACAAAAGTTTATATTATGCCTGCAGTGAAAAGACAAACGAGGTAGAAAAAATACTAGTTCATTAACTAGTACTATGTGCCTACCTACCAGTTCGACAATTTCGAAGAACTAAGGCGTTCAGCGACATCTGCATTTGAATTGCCAAAGCCAAAAATAAAACGCAATTAACTGCTTTTTTTTACAAATGTCGGCTGTGGCGTCACGTGAAGACTACTGGTTCTGGTTCTGAGATCGCAGGTTCGTCGAGGCCGCTTGGAGGTGGTTAAGATTTTTAAAGTTAAATCAATGTGGTTCTTCACGCTTTCCTGGTTTACAATGTAAGTAAAAATAATTATTTAAATTTAAAATATAAATAACAAACTTGAAAATATAATTCCATTGTAGAAATAAAATACATATGGGAAGAAAAGCTTGTGCCATAAAAAAAGAAATACATTTTTTTTCTTTTTTTAATTAAATTTAAAAATTACAATAATGAAATATATCAGGTGACAATAAAATAAATCAAAACACGTGCGTTCTTTGTAATGTCCAAAATTGAACGATCTCTTCGATTCGTTTTTTAATGCCGTATAGCGTCGTTTTTACAAAACGGTTCATACTCGCTACAACTGAAGTGATTTCTATTGGCTAGAGTTACAAGTGAGCTTTAAGTTCTAGTTACAGTTGAACGTTTATGAGAATTAAGGTCTAAATACAACCAAATCTTAGCAGCTAAATCTTAAGGTCTAATTAGTTATAAGAAAGCATGTGCACACGAACACCTACACACTTATGAGTCCTACAACAACCCTAAGTAAAATCAAAATCAAAAAAAAATAAATAAATACAAAAATGTTTCCTGCGCCAGGACTTGAACCTGGGACCTCAGGCATACCACGCGAGTGCTTTCTTCTGTTGGCCATTGCGACTGTTGGAGCGCCGCGAAGAAAAAGCCATACTTATGCTTTTCACGGGGGTGAATTGGCAGACTATCTCATCAACTGGTATGATGCTACTAGTATTTCTACTAGTAGATGCTGATGCATAGCCTGAGAGTTGACATCTCGTAGGACATTGCAATGTTAAAAATACCAGTCGCTAACAATGAAAAACGATAGAACGTGAACTAGTTGGGCTGCAGCGCAGAATGGTAGAATTCAGGTTCACAACTAGCAACTTTCCCTGCAGGGATTATTATGGGTTTGCGTGTGTGCAGGCATTGTCGATAAATGATTATCTGGAATATTGCTTAAAATTGGTTTGTTCGTTTATAAGAATTTCAATTGATTTGCCAAACAAATTGAAGTTACAGCACAACACCGTAGGTACGTTGGTTTACTTACTATCCAACATTCAAAGTATAAGCTGATCATAACTGTGCTTTAAGATGCCGTTTTAATACAAGTTTAATAAAAAATTCAACATTTAGTCTGCAAGTTAATTATTTATTGAACTTTAATCCAAATTTCTGAAGGCAATTAAGTTGTTCTCTCAAATGCCGAAAGATATCGTATGTGTAGTATATACCTACATAGATATGTATATATGTATGTAGAAATTTGTTAAGCATAAATTAATCACATCAACGCTCAGCACAGAAGACTTGATAACCATCAACCATCACTAAGCACTCTAAGCTGCTATGGCTGAAGCTCAAAAATTGGATTTTCATATTATTATGGGCCAATGTGGCGTACTACTACTCCGTAGGACCAGGGTTCGATTCCTAGTCAGATCAACATATACATATGTAAATTAGAAAAGGGATTTTTCTAACAGCGGTCGCCCCTCGGCAGTCAAGGGCGAACCTCTCAGAGTGTATTTCTGCCTTGAAAAGGCTTATCATTAAACCCATTTGTGTTATAACATCAGCATAAATTGGAGGAGAAGGTCGGCCAAACACTTAGCAAAAGTAGGTAGGCGCCAAAAAAAAAATATTATTAATATTAGTTATTACTTATTTTAGTTTTAGTTTGTTTATTTGTTTTAGTTCTACTACTCAAATGGGATTTGCAAATAAAATTGTCATGCAGTTACATATTTGCTTACTTTATGATCTGAGAGCTGTTGAAATGTTGTTTTAATTGCGCCTGCGCCTGCGCCTGCGCCTGGATTTAGGTTTTTTTGAACGTCTGCGAAACTAAAGCACGAGTAGATCGTTTTTGTTTTTTTTTTTTGAATACTTACATATATACATACAAATATGTACATATAGAAGTTTATTTATTTTTCTTGCTAAATCATTTATTTGTTGTTGTTAATGGTTTAAATAAAACACGTGAAGAAGATGTGTTGATTGAATAGCGCAGAGTAGTAGCGCCCCACCCCACCCCACCGGCTATGTGCCTATATGTGGCCTAATGCGCTGAAAGCCAGGCAGCAAAGTCTTCCAAACGTGTCTGTAAGTAGCTTTTGCTTATCTTAATTTAAACACACAAACGTACATACATCTACATGTACATATGTATGTATGTATGCATAAGCGCAGCATCATCATCAGCAATAATGTGGCGTTAAATTTGATATTAAAAGTTTGAGAGCGACTTTTAATGAGTTCAGATTTCAGCGATTTTTAATTTATATTTTTTCTCATAGCTTTTCGTTTTGCTTTGGTTTTTGTTTTTGCTATTTAGTTTGGCATTAGTATTTTTCAACTATTTTAAATATATATGTAAGTATTTGTGCCTTTTGACAAACGTTTGTGAGGTAGTAAGGAAGCCATCAACATGTATATATGTATGTATGTATGTATGTATGTAGACATATTTTAATTGTTGTTGTTGTTGTTACTTAGGTGTCGTTTTAGTTGGGCCATGCTCTTCGCCTCCTAAGATTGGGGCTAAGATGTGAGCTTGTTTAGCTAGCTCATATAAAAAGCATTCGCGACAGCGTATCCATCAACAGTTAGCAAACGCTTTACAATACAGCAAGATGTTCAAGATAGTGAGTCGATTTTTTTAAATGCTTTTTTGTTTTTTTTTTTTAGGTTTTTAATAAAGAATTCTTTCTTTAGCTAAAAAAATATTTAAAAATTATGTGAAAAAAAATTGCAAAAACACTTTTTAAATTATGGTGTGTTTAATTGGAGTTTGAGTGAAGTGAAAACAAAAATTTTAACAATGTTGTATTTAAAAAATTTGCGAAAAATTTGAAAAAAAAAAAATTGTGAAGTTCGTGATACGGCCTGACTGACTGATTCAAATGGCTTAACTTAAGCGCAATTTAAATGAAAAATATTGCAATAGACCAAATTCTATATTTTCTAATACTTTAAAGTTAATGTGGAAGCGCTCATATATTCTTGCACACGACGTGTTTTAATAATTAATAATTATGCTTACAAAAAAAAAATTTTCAAAAAAATATAAAAAAATTTAATTTATTTTCCAACACCACTTCGCGTACAAATATGCGAGTATTTAGAAAGTTTTTTCAAGTTACATAAATTGAATTGCAAAATTAAAAAAAAAAAAAACACAATAGAAATTAAAAAACAACAAACAATTAGATGTCATTTGCATCGCATAAAATTGTGTTTCTACCATTTTCAAATTGAACGATTTTGATTCTTAAATTCAATTTAAAATTGCAATGGTAATTTCGCAATATTCACTTTGATTTTTAAATAGGCTATATTTGAGTTTTCATATTGTCTATAATGACGGGAACATCAGAGCAACATAAAATGAAATAAAAATATACAATCGATATTTGAACAGCGTTCGCAGTCTTTCGCCAAGCGAGAATATTTTAGGTTTCAAAAATTCCTAAACCACTTATTTGAATTTCAACAACCCTTTCTCCTTTTTTCAGCTACTGCTCGCCACTCTCTTCGCTTACGCCTGCGCCGATAATATCGACAAGGACGCACAGGTGCTGAGTTTCAAGAACGATGTCGCGGATCCGGAGGGCAACTATGCCTACGCCTTCGAAACCAGCAATGGCATACAACAGCAAGAAGCCGGCAATCCAGCGGGTGTAGCTGGCCAATACGAGTATGTATCACCCGAAGGTGAACGGGTCTCAATTAGCTACACAGCCGATGAGAATGGTTTCCAACCTACCGGTTCGCATATTCCAACACCACCACCAATTCCAGAAGCTATAGTGCGCGCCTTAGAATACATTGCAGCGCATCCCTCGGCTGTTTAAGGCAGTCGAACGAAGTTCCGAGAATGTTGGGAGGCTGAAGACCTAATAAATACTAAAGAAATCTGCGGTCGGCGGTTGATAAAAAAGGCAACGACGGCTGCAACGAGTGAGAAGTGATGATGATTATTAGATTAGATTAAGCGAGTGAAGAGGCCATGTTGGAAGCTAAATTGCATCAATGAATTATTTAATAAACAAAAACAAAAGAAATGTACTTACATATGTATATAAATATTAGTTACCTAGTCAATGTCAAGTCTTCTAAAGTGGTGCACAATGAGATGCATTCTTTTAAGCTCAATCTTGCTAGCGCACTGTACTTAGTAATTATAGCTACATACATATGTACATGAAAACATGAATACATATGTATGTATATGAAAAGAGCACATAATAAAGGGCCATACTCTCATAACGTTAAAAAAATACATACATACATACATATATACAGTTATATTCATTTGTATTAATATAGATGAGCAAATAGACATTGATGCGGCACTTAAACGTGTTTAATTTAAGCGAGTTTCACATACATACATTAAACATACACACACACACATACGCATGCATATTTTCTCTATTGTATTATTAAAAGCATATACATACATATGTACTACATATTTAGAATAAAATTGCAACCAAGTTTTCCTAAAAGAATAAGGAAATATAAAAAAGTTTTTGAACTTCGGACACAAAGAACTACAAACAAAAAAACTGTCACAGTGAAGAGCAGGGCTGCCAACCTGACTCAAACCGTGCCATTTTTTGGCCCTATTTTACTTTTAATGGCACTTAATTTTTCATGGCACTTTAAAAAATAGTAGTATTTCAATATACTTTTGTGAAATCCTTTGCGTGCGCTTTTTTGTTCTCAACTAAAATTTTCAAATTTCTATAGTGTATACAACTGGTGCATCTCATTTTGGCATTGGACTTTTCTTTTAGGAATTTGTTGCTAATTTTAATGCTAAATGGGTAGAATTAAAAAGAATGACAAATTTTTTGGCACTTTCAATTTTTTATTTGGCACTCAATATGGCACTTCATAGCTTAGGATAGTGGGCAGCCCTGGTGAAGAGTTAACTCACATTAACCAGTTTGACTTTAAATTATTTACTTGTCGAATGTGAATTACTTAACTGGTCAATGCGAAAACGACCCTAAGACTTACTTGCAGACAGATTTTAGACAAAACAAAACATGGCATTTGTTTGAAGAATGCATAGAATTTCGATGTGTTGTCCAGCAAACTGGTTATAATCTATAGATCTCCTTAACGGTAAATAAGCTCTAAAACGTAAGCAAACAAATGCGTTAAATTTGCGAAACATCCTCACATTCATTATATTTTATGCAAATGATATTCATTTGATTTTGACAAAGTTGCAGAATGTGGCTAGAATAGCTACACAACGAGATACATACATACATACATATGTATAAGCTAAGTATGTACATATGTATATATAGATAAATTAAAAATGAATGACGATAAAAAAAAACCGCGCTCAACACGCTTACTTTACAGTTTTTTTTTTTACCTCATCAAATTGCTTGTGCGGGCATAGTGTTCCCATGCGGCTGCGCTAAATACAAGCCGACACGCTGAAGGCACGTTGATCTTCAGTCTAGATTATGCAATAAATACAGCGAAAAAAATACTAAAAAAAAAGAATATACCCAAATATTTACTTGAATACGTACATATGTATGTAAATGTGTAAAAGATCACATAACTTAAATGAGAAAAAAACGCCAGAAATTTGTAAACGACCGGGGAGCATTGAAGGCAACTAAGCTTACATTGCAATTGGCTACAAGCAAGCATATTGTTCAAGCGCTCTCAGATGCTTCTTTAACTGCCAGTGGCGCTGTCTTCTTGGAAATTAAATCAAGCAAATAAATAATGCAAATTACAAAATCAAAAAAAGAAGAAGAAAAAAATCGCATGCTATGTCCCCTGTCCTATGTCTCCCCATGCGCCGGTTTAACACGCATGTTTTCTGCTTTTCATGAAGGCCCCCCCACAGCATCGTTCAAAATTAATTCTGCTCCATATCCCAAATTCGCTTTCAACGACCGCAACCGCAAGTTCAACCAAAACATACATACATTCGGCTCACACCACGCATCTTATACCGGCTTGCTGCCAAATAGCTGAACTCAAAAACGCTCCAGCTTCCAGCTACCGATCGCGTTCGCCAACCCCGCTTGCACTGTTTCGGAGCAGTTACATACATTCATTCATCTGCATATGCATACGGTCATACGATATCGCAGTCAATTGATTTTTTGGCATGTATACATACATACATATGTACGTATGTATGCACTCATAAATGTAGGTCAGTGTTGAGTGTGTGTGCGGCGGCTAATTTCAGCTTCTTTATTTTTGTGTAATCTGGTTTTTAATAGCTATTTTATTTTAAACAAATTATGCAGGCAAATGCATTTACATACATACATATGTACATTAGGGTGCGCATCGAAAATGCTTCGTTTGGAAATTTCAAGACCCTACCCCCTAATTTTATTCGTTTTTATGAGAAATATTATTGCCTATTTTTATAGATTTTTTAAAGGTCATTTAGAGGTCGCGACCTCTACATTCACAATATAAATTCAAGGCCGTATTTAAGAAAAGTCGCCTTACTTCGACAATTTTTATGCGATTGCAACAAATGGGCTACCAGTTTATTTAAAAATAGATTTAATTTTAGATAGTACTACATATTTTGAAATTGTGGAAATTAGCGATGGTCAAAATTAAAAAAAATTACGAGAAATACGTTTTTTTTTTTTTATTTTACCCGATAAAAGTCCCAACAAGCCAAATCCGACAATAGATTATTATATACCATTTTAAAGGCCTATTTATCCCCTTCTCAGATCATATTCGCTCTTTGAAATCGGGTCCAAAAATAGTCATTCAAAAACTCATAAATCTACAAAATCGTATTTTCAGACCTAAATGGACAGGTCGCGATCTCTAAAGGACCTTTAAAAAATCTATAAAAATAGGCAATCATATTTCTCATAAAAATTAATAAAATTAGGGGGTAGGGTCTTGAAATTTCCAAAAAGAGCATTTTCGATGCGCAGCCTAATGTACATACTTACATACATGCATGCTATTATGTACATATGTATATTAGACCGTGCCACCTCACAAGCAAACAAAAAAGTTCACCGTACACCCCTGAGTCTTTTTAAAGATTTTTGCGAGGCAATTTCGATTTTTTTTTTGCCGAACCTAGGGTTCACCTTTTTAAATTTTTCGGTGCCACCTACATTCGTCAATACATTTTTTAAAATAGACAAGATGTATCATTCTTTAAGATCCGAATGCCGAGGAAATGCCGAAAAATCTTAAGCGGCGACCCCTACGTTCGGCCGAATTTTTTTCCGAAATTGCATTTCAAAAATACTTCAAGTTAGAAGTTTAACGGCGAACAATTTTTTCTGGTACGGTCTAATGTACATACATACAGATGCACCTACTTACCAAAAGCGGCATCAGAAACGCTACAAGCGATGGCTTATTAAAAGTCTAGTGACGCGCATGTCTCGTTTGCAAAGGCTTATGAAATTTGTTAATTATTTACAGTATTTTTTTTTTGGCTTAAACAGATGGTAATAAAATAAAACAAAATAAAATAAAAAAAAAAGATTTTTATTAAATTAAATAAAAAACTACTTTCGGTTTTAATTTGATGAAGCTATTGGGACTAATTGCAAGTTAAGCAGCAGTTTTTTTTTGCTTTAGTGATTTTAAATTTCATTAGCTACTAATTTTTAAACCTTTTTTTTTATAATTCTTTAATTAAGTAAATATGTTGCGCATCAAAAAGCAATAGTGCGTGCTTACTTTCGAAACATTGCCGTATCTTTACAACACATGTACATATGTATGTATGTAAATATCAGTCTAGCGCATTTCCGGTAGTTTCGACAGAAGCAGCTCAGCTTAAACGGACTTCAATGCTAACTGGTGCTTAAAGCCGATTGAGGCTGCTGCTATTAAAACTGGCGTGAGCGTGTTTGCAAGCGATATGTCCAAATTAACCATTGCCTATAATTAATAGCAGTTTCAATTAACTATCTGTGATTGGACTATGATTGATACTAATATTCAAATTGATGTTGAGTAGTTTGCGGGCATTGTAAAACATTGACAAATCAACAAAACTAATTAAATTAACTTTTCGGCGGCAATGCCTGCAGGGAGTTTTTTTTTTATTTACTAGTGTTCGCCCAACGGTAGAAAATCAACCACTAAAGTTGAGATGAAACGGGGTGAGTTATGGTGAAGTGATTAAGGTGAGTTGAGGTGAATTGCCTTGAACAACATAACATAACATTTCATAACATACCATAGCATAGCATAATATAACATGGCATGAGATAACATAACATAGCATAGCATACCTTAACATAATATAACGTAACTAACATAATATAACATAACATAACATAAGATAACGTAACGTAACATAACACAACATACCATAACGTAACTTGACATATAGAGATAATGATTTTATTTTTTAACTTTAAAGGCAGTGCCACAGAATTGGTCATTTGCCCAAAATTTGGTGCAAATTGTATCCCAATCGCGTGAATGCACAAATATTTTTCTTTATCTCAATCATGAAAAAAAAATGTACAAATCTGTGCAAATGTGCCATACGTGTGACACTGCCTTAACAGCCTTATTATTTGGGCTCGGAATCTCATGCAAATGCATGTTTTTATTGGGCATCCTCAAATGGAAATGGTTAAATTATCTTTACGAATCATGAAATTTCCTTTGAAATGGCATTCAATCGTATATTTTACAAAAAAATGCATATAGTTTTTGCATATTTTTATTTATTTTTTGATTTTAATTTAGTGCGAAATCTTTTGACATAAACATTACTTATAATTTTTTCCCAAATATTCATCTTGATATCTTCTCGAGTCGCCAAGCGACTTTAAAGTACTCTCTTGTACCTCTGTTAGATTACAACTAGTGACGAACTGTAGGAGAGAGGCTATATCTCTGATCAATACCAAATTAAGCTAATATGGGTCTCGCCCTGAATGTGCCTCACGCAAAAATTAGCGAAATTTTTTATTTCAAGGCCAAGCAGTGGCGGTATCGTTTGGGATTTTACAGGATTACACGGCTGTTCACGATGTCCTACGACCCACTTTAAACCAAAGCACGGAGCCTAAGGGCCGGTTGTTCAATGTCTGGTTATCACTACCACTACACTATCGACGATTTCGACATCATACATGTAACATGTGATCGATAAAGCAGTAGTTGTGCTTAACCGGAGCTTCTACCTCCGATTTGTGCTAATCAGACATTGAACAACCGGCCCTAACTCTCTCCCCTACAAAATCCTGAGCCGTACTGTTTACCACCTGAACGAAGGAGGTCAAACTACAACTGGAAATTCACGTCGATGACGAACCAATTCCGACGGTGAGCAACCCCAAGATCTTCGGAGTAACTTTGGACAGTCTGCTCTCCTTCTCGGCGCATACAACCGCAATTGTCAATAAAGTACAAAGCCGCAACAAGGTCCTCAAGTCGCTAGCCGGCAGCACCTGGAGCAAAGACAAAGAAACGTTGCTGGCAACGTATAGGGCAATTGGCCGGCCGGTTCTGAACTATACAGCGCCCGTGTGGTCACCGGGACTAATAGGACGCAGTGAATGAAGCTGCAGACTTGCCAAAACACGGCACTCAGGACAGTGACCGAATGCCTTCTGATGTCGCCAGAACACTACCTGCACGACGAGGCTCATATGCTCTCCGTTAAGGAGCATAACCCAGTGCTTCGCAAGCAGTTTCTAGTTGGGAGCAACAGACGTGGTCACCCAAATAGACAGCTGCTTGCAGAAGAGCCCTCGCCCAGGTACGTAAGGACGGGAGTTGGCGAAAAGCGAAAAGACTTCGCGCTGCAGCTTCAATGATCTATGTGGCATGCTTTGTGCATTTTCATACAATTCATCTTATCTATCAAAGCGAATCTTTCACGTAAAGCGAAGCAAAAGTTTTATGTGGCATCAGCTTTATGGGGCCACTGATTACAAATCTTCAGTCAGTTTTGAAAAATGCAATATGGCGGATCCACTATAGCGGACAAATTATTTTATTTTTTTTTTAGTTTATTGAATTCGCTCGAAACATGTTATTCGGGGTGATTTGAGGTCGCTGATTATGAATTTGGCTATGAATTTTTAAAATTCAAAATGGCAAATCCAATATGGTGGACTAATTTTTAAAACTTGATTGACATTGCTCGAAACTTTCTACTCGGGGGTTTTGGTAGTATTTAGGAGTTTTTATGGTAGCTGATTACGAATCTGAAAGCAGGTTTAAAAAATTTTAAATTATGGGTTCAATATAACGGCTTTCTAATTTAAAATCTTTGTGTTTTTTAATAGAACATAGTGAATATTACACTCATCTAAAATTCAAACATTAAACACAGTTGGCAAAAGTTTTATGTGTGTGTGGAGTTTATATGTTAATTAATAAAACAATAGGGCTGTTGAGGATGTTGTGGAAATGGTATTGGATTTGCAGTTGGAATTGCATTTCGACCTATCTCGGCAGCCAGTTCGAAAACGCTCTATATCAAAAAACTTTTCAAAAAAGTCCTATTTCAGAATGTTGTTGAAGAACGCCCTATTTCAGAATTCGTTTCAAAAAAAATTCTGAGTTAGTGTTTTTCAATAAAATTCTGAAATGGGGCGCACTATGGGCTAAATCACATTTTTTTTGTTTAAAATCTAATATAACGAGAAGGAAAAGAGCTAGCGCAATAATTTTTTGTGTGAATAAAGTTCAAGTTATGTCGGTTAAAGGAAAACTAAAGCGAACGTCAACACGCTTTACTTGAGGGGTTAAAATGAGGGGCGAAGTTGACCATGTTCAAAAAATTTATGACCTTTCGATTTTCTTTTTGCTGTATCTCAGAGGCGAATCACGATATCGATACAATTTTTGTTTTAAATAGTAGTAAATGAAATGTACATTAAGAAAAGGCTTATTAGAATACCATCAACCCCTAAATTCAGGGTTGAAATAAGGGGTGAATGGCTAAAACCCAGAAAATTCACTGAAAAACCTTATAAAGTGTTTTCATAGGTGCCGAAAACGATTCCTATAATTACTTCTGCAAGGATTGATTTATTGGGATATCATCAACCCTTCATTTGGAGGTTAAAATAACGGGTAAGTTGCTGAAAACAAGAAAATTCTAGAAATCGATGTCCTTTCGCTTTTCTTTTTGCTGTATCTCAAAGGAAAATCATGATACCGATACAATTTTTTTTTTTAATTGTAGTAAATTTAATATAGATTAAAGAAAAGCTTATTAGGATACCATCAACCCCTAAATTAGGGGTTGAAATAAGGGGTGAATGGCTAATACCCAGAAAATTCACTGAAAAACATTCTAAAGTGTTTTCATAGGAGGCGAAAACAATTTCCAAAATTATTTCTGATTCATCAAGCTTCTCCTAGTACAATAAGGTCACGTGCAGTGGAACTATCAAACAATGAACGCTACAATAAGGTTGAAGTGTTAGAAATGGCTTTACAAATTATTAAAACGAGGCTACTAAATGATACAAGCTACGAAGGATCGATGGAAGTTGACGAGTCGCGTGATAAAGACACTAAAAATAAAAATTGTAATTTAGTTGAAGAGCACACCAATGAATCAGCTTTATCTCTGTGCTTGGAACTTAAATTATCCAGAAATTCTTACGACATATTAGCGAAAGATACAAAAGATCGCGGATGTCGAATTTTTCCCTGTTGGAGTACTCTTGGACGTGCTAAAGGAGACTGTTGTCCAAAGGATTACAGCATATCTGAGGTTTTGTTTCTACTTAATAATCAAAATTACCTTTCACGATAATTTTTAAAGTAATTTGTTAAAATCTGAACAGTAGCTATAATTTCTGTATTTGCGAGGCATCTCCTCATTTCGTGTATGCGACTTTAGCACTCGATTTAACAACACTCAGAATGCTATATAGAAAATTAGGATGATTTTATTAATTGCTTAATTGCCGTTTTACTTAGAGTAAAGGAATTCAGAGTTTGTTTCTAAATTATATTTTCATAATTTTTAACAAAAGGTTGAGGTATCCGTTCCAATGCAACAGATGCTAGAAAAGACTGCCGAAAGATTATGCGTAGCTGTTACATCAGATTGGCCCAAAACTGCTATGAATAGCATAGAGTTGTCGGTAACGACTGGATTTGATGGTGCCTCTGGCTATGTTAACCCTCAGCAGAAATTTTACGATGAGGAGAATGATGACCGAAGTCCATATCAGTCGCTATTTGTATGCGGAGCTNAAAAAAAATTGTATCGGTATCATGATTTTCCTTTGAGATACAGCAAAAAGAAAAGCGAAAGGACATCGATTTCTAGAATTTTCTTGTTTTCAGCAACTTACCCGTTATTTTAACCTCCAAATGAAGGGTTGATGATATCCCAATAAATCAATCCTTGCAGAAGTAATTATAGGAATCGTTTTCGGCACCTATGAAAACACTTTATAAGGTTTTTCAGTGAATTTTCTGGGTTTTAGCCATTCACCCCTTATTTCAACCCTGAATTTAGGGGTTGATGGTATTCTAATAAGCCTTTTCTTAATGTACATTTCATTTACTACTATTTAAAACAAAAATTGTATCGATATCGTGATTCGCCTCTGAGATACAGCAAAAAGAAAATCGAAAGGTCATAAATTTTTTGAACATGGTCAACTTCGCCCCTCATTTTAACCCCTCAAGTAAAGCGTGTTGACGTTCGCTTTAGTTTTCCTTTAACCGACATAACTTGAACTTTATTCACACAAAAAATTATTGCGCTAGCTCTTTTCCTTCTCGTTATATTAGATTTTAAACAAAAAAATGTGATTTAGCCCATAGTGGGGCGTTCTTGAAAAGTTTTGTATGTTTAAAAGGTTCCCAACAAGCAAAATAAACTTAAAGAAAGTTTTTTTTAAGTTTTCAATTATAAACATTGAGCTTACAAAACGTTGATTTTTTGTTTATAAAACGCTTGAAAGTAAGCGTAATATAACCGAAAAGGAACATTGGTTATAAGCGTAGAAATATAAACTTGTAATAAATGTTCAAAAGAAAGCATTTTATAAGCGTAAAAGTGCAAACTTATAATAAAGGTTCAAAAAAAGTTTTTTATAAGCGTATCAATATAAACTTACTAAAAATTTTCAAAAGAAAGCTTTTTATAAACATCTTTATAACCCTTTATTTAAAGATATTTCATTAAAAACTCATACATAGATTGCTTAACATCTAGAAACTAAACGAAATGCGATTTTTTTTTTATTATGAATGTAAGCCTCCATAAATACGTATGTACACGTACATATATATACCAATTTCCTTTACAAGAAAAAGTGCTCACTTGCTCTTTTTAACCTACTTCACAAAAAGGAGGAAGGTTATCAATTCATCGGAATATTTTATTTTTTTTTGTATGTAGGGCATAACTTTGGACCACGTTAACCGATTTCCGTAATTCACTTTTTAAAGAAAAGGTGCTACCTCGCAGGTGGTCCCATTCTAATTTGGTTCAAATCCGATCATTGGATCAGGAAAAGATTAACGATAATCTTAAATTTGTATATGAGAATGTAAGTCAGTTTTGTTTTTTGCTTAAAAATTACTTTTATGCATACAAAATATACATACATAAATTTTTCGTAAAAAATTGTATGTTTAAAAGGTTATAATAAATGTCAGTCCCAACAAATATTTATGCATATATACAAATTTCTTTTAGTAAATATCAATCGTATACTTTCATATGTACATATGTAAATATATAATACATCTTTTAAAAAACAAAATAAAATAGCTTTCATCTTTACAATTTGCTGGGAGATGGACCACTCTGCTTTGCCAAAGGACCAAAACGATTAATAAAATCGTTTACTACTCCACTGATGCGTTCTGGGTTGTTTATGTGTACATGATGTGATCCATCGACCTCGAAATATTCAAACTTCGATTTTGTTCGTAGTATCGCCAGCACTTCATCATAATACTTTTTGTCCTCGAAATAAGTTGATTGCCGCGCTTTAATAAACAAGTAAGGACACTCAATACGTTTAGCCATCTCTACACAAAGTTCCTGTGATCCAACCAAATAGTTGTAAAATTTCAAGCGACGATCCCGGCTAAAAAAATATTTCTCTGGATATTTTTCCGATTTTTGTATATTGCGTGCAAGCATATGTTTACAGCGGTCCTTATTGATAGAGTGGAAAGTACCGATAAAAATACGTTCGATGAGTTCATCATAAGAATAGCTTGGTGGCTCTTCTTTGGAACGATTACGCTCATCCTCTTTTAAGAATTCATCCATGCGCGTTTCCATGCTGCGTATTGAACTGGCAGGGGGACGCTGATGTGGTTTCAGTGCATCTAAACCAATAACCATGTCCACTTTGTCAGGAAAAACCGCAGCGAATACAAATGCAATTATAGAGCTCATAGAATGGCCGACTAAGGAGACTTTTTGCCATTTGTATTGCTTCATTATAATAAGTATTACGTACAGATTGTCAGTTGTGTTGTAATAACAGCCATCTGGTAGTCGAGACGACAGCCCATGACCGGGTAGATCTACCGAAAGGAATGGAATGTCTGGAGGCAAAAGCGGCACAAGCAAGTCAAATGTACCAGCGTTATCTTGCCAGCCATGCAGACCGAGTATTGGTTGAACATCTTGCGGACCAAACCATTTGCCGGACAAATGACCCCACGGTACGGGTATAGTAATCTCTGCAAACTTCAAACAAGGTAAATAATTTGAGTAAGTATTGTATTCTGTATACATATAGGAAATCTTTGTATTTACTTCACGCGTTGGTGGTTCATCCGTTAAATCGCCTACATGTCGATATCGTCGTGACAAATCAAATTTGGATTCCATTGGTACTTTAGAGCCTACCAATTCGAACGTATTTCCTATGATGAAANAACTTTAATAACAGATTACTTAAAAACTATAAGGTTGCGCGCTTTAAAACTTTACATACACCCCCTTTAGAACCCCCTCTACCCCCCCCTATTTTCCTTAATTCGGTAATCGGGGGTTACCATTCTAAAATTTTCCCTGAAAGTTTAATAAAATAACTGAGCAGTGGGACCTGCGCTTATAAAAAATCTGTTAAAGCAATAACATATCTATAGATAAGTATAAGATAATAATAAGATAGATAAGTATAAGTATACTTATGTACATATGTTTATCGGAAAATGAACTTTGATTTGGTAGGTACACCAATTATTGCGCATGCTTTAAATATACGATTAATCTTTTAAAAATATCTACATTGTTATACGGAACGTCTGAAATATTATATTATATAATTTTATGATTTTTATGGTTAAATTTTGAATTTTTTAAAGAATGCCCAACCAATTTATAAATTTTTACCGTCAGACGACCTAGTCGGGGTGTATGCCTTCTTATCCGAAAATGATTATTGCTATAAAATAGACTTCTAATATCAACCTAATCGAATGTGTGAATTTGTTTTTTTTTTATTTAATTTCAATTAATCTTTCTGTCGTATTATCAAAAATAAATAAATAAAAATAGAAACCGATTAGTGTTGTGCTACAGCTGTCAACGTGACATGATAACACAATATAACCAGTAAACAACCTTCGGTGAATTTGGCGACTGCCTTCCTCGGGGATGAATATGCTAGGGATGAAATTATTGGTACACACGCCTTCCAAGCACGCAGGGTTGCTTTTAAGAAACAAAAAATAATTAACTCCAAATAGTTTCAAAAAGTATAGTGTAAAACGAAATTTATTGAATAATTCCACATAAAATGTTATACATAAATGACGCATTTTCTAAACGATTTAAATTAAACGCATTTGAGAATTGATAGAAAAGTACTACGGATTGTAAATTTTTGTTAACTATGAGGTGAATGAAAATTTTCAACCC